CATGATAAATTCTGGGATTAGAATCGGACCAATATAGGCAGTTATGACGATTTACTACGCCATTTAAGAAAAAGGAACATTCGTCGGAAAAGCAAGTCTTGAATAGAAAATGTTCATGGTTTATAATTCGTTCACCCATATCTTCACAAAATTGTAATCGCCGATCAAAATCTTCTTCCTTAAGTTCTTGTACCAGGTGAATTTTATACGGATGAAAACTATGGGCCTTTAGAATCCGTGGGACAGTACGCCGACTAACAATACACACAGTCTCCAATTTGCGGGTACTTAACGTAGGATCTACATAAACTTGCCCTAAAGCCCCCACTTCTATTGCTTCGTTCCTTATGGGATTTTCAATGTTGGGTTTTTTATTGGCGACTGACCCAGTTTCCCGAAATTTTGCTAAAAGGTCCAGAACATATTTTCGATGCACGTTACTGTTCTCATTTCGCTCATTAAATATTTCTGCTGTTCTATTAGCGCACTGATTATTTCCGAAAAATATTTCGATAATTTCAACTCTTTCTGCTGTGGAATATACCATGGTTAATTTATGTAATAAAGCGTTACAAGTTATTTTAGCAACAAAGTTTGGTCAAATCAATCGCAAACTATGTACTAAATTCATATTTAAAATAAGTACGAGATATTTCCTTATCTTTCTTCAAGAAATAACTTTTTTGCCACAAAAAAACGCTCCAATAGCTATTTTCAACAACAAAATGATAAACAAACCATGGGCGTAGTGAAGAAAGGCATTTACTGATTAAGTAAATTCTTTTAGTCAAATTTCTTCTGAAAGTAGTACAAACTAATCTGATGTACCTATTAAAGTCTACTTTGAGCTTTAAATCAATAAATCTTCAAGACTACTGAACTGAAGCTCATGTATTTTACATTATTATAAAGGGAGTTGAAAGACCTTTAAAATAAGGTATCACTCGACCCGCCTTTCCATTTAAGATTTTAGGGTTGGTGTCACCCCCTCCCAGGGGGCTGCACGTGTTAACGTGATTTTTTGTCAAACTTGTGTCCCCCTGTATAGGTCTGTTGATGCATTTAATATATACAGGGTTGAAATCTATTAGAAAAGGTACATTTTACGTTTTGAGGTATCCTGTATACATAGAAACATATTATAAAATCGATGATAATAAAATTTTTGCGAACAAAAGTTTATCTGAATGTCTTCAAAAATGGCGGAGCTGCGAGCTGTCAAAGCTAGGCATTTTTTCACTAAATATCTAAACAATTAAATCGAAACCATATGTTGTAGATTTGTAAAATCTTTTTTACTTTGCACATAAAACTAGTTTCCATTTTCGTTGGGATACCCTGTATAGTAGAGACGATCAGATAAAGAATGTAAGCGATACTACTCATTTTCATCTAAATCGATAAATATGATTTGACTACTAATAATAGTAATTTTGATCAGAATGATCGGTTGCTTTAAATCAACTGAATTAGCTTCTTAATGGCGAAAGCAAAAAAGTTGCAGATGACTCAAGAAAATTGTTGTTATCAATCTTTATAGTGAGGGTTTTTAAAAGCGTCGGTTATCAGAACTTTGGAAATAGCCCGATTTAAGCAAAATGTCTCTTTTTCCTTGCCAAAAGTATGTTACGGTATCACGCGTGTATATAATATATAAATGCTTTCTAAACGCCGATCTGTTCGCAAAGTGCTAGTGTGCAGTCATTTATTTTTGGCAGTGCATACCGGAACGAGAATGTGTGGCATCAGCCGCAACATGAAGCACACTCTTCAACACCAGGCCTGAGTCCTATAGATTTATGCGTGGCGCTGAAACGTTTGATTGGCGCAGCCTTTCTCTTGTTTTGTTATTCACGTCACATACCGACTGTCAACTGTCATTTTGAGAGCGCGTTATGTGAGGTTTGGCAAGAAACTGGAGCTCGGTATGCATTCTTGATGGATTTAAAACGGTTGAAAGTAATGTGTAAATCGGTTGAGAGTGCGACATTTAGTTCACAAGGTAAAGAAGTATACTGGATGTTAATACAGCACCTAGACAAACGTGGATGATTCCTTGAGCTCATATGAATATTTACGTAAAAATCGACCGATCTATCGAAATTGACGGCATTTCGTACTGTCCTATACTAAGTGACATAGTTTTTCGGAAGCCCTCAATAAGATTCTGCCTCATATACTAAATGACATATACATCCGAACACCCAGTTTAAATGGTTTTATTTTAATAAAACTTGTATAAGTACTTAATAAAGCATAATAAGTAAATGATAAAAATTTCAAAATGATTGCACTGCTTTAAAGCTCTTTGACCTTTAATAATGTGTGGATGCACCCTGATGTGCTACGCATTCTCCAAACGCGCCTAGGCATGCTTCTGATCAGGTGATCAATGTCCTCCTGTGGTATCTCATTCCAGGCAACTACCAACTCCTCTCGAAGTGCTTCTAGAGTCTGAGGAGGACGTTGCAAATTGAGCAATCTCCTACCCATCATATCCCATACGTGCTCAATTGGGGATAAGTCGGGAGATCTTGGTGGCCATGGTAACAATGTGACATCATTATGTTGAAAGCAGTCTATTGTGACTCTTGCAACATGTGGTCGGGCATTATCTTGTTGGAAAGTTGGATCTGCCAGGGTGTCAAGATAGGGTAAAAGATGGGGTTCTAGAACTTCGTGGATATACCGCTGCGCGTTCATGTTACCTCTGATGAAGATTAAAGGTGACCTGGAACCATAAGCTATAGCACCCCAAACCATAACTCCAACAGTGTGATGAACATGTCTTTCAACAAAAAACTGTGGATTCCTCCTTTCACCACGTCGCCTTCTAACCCTGGCACGACCATCGTGCATGCCTAAACAAAATCTAGACTCGTCACTAAAAACAATACTGTTCCATTTCTGATCCTAGAGTGACCGTTGCCCGCACCACTCAAGGCGATTACGTCGGTGTTCTCGAGTCAAAGGGAGGACCTAGTGTGGCCGGTATGAAAACAAGCCAAAATGCCAATAGGTCTTCCGTGTTCTGCAAACCATTCATTTGCAATGGACCTGGTAGTGGAGAAACGGTCCCTTAAGGCCAATAATCTTAGGCGGCGATCTTCACGGTCTGTTGTTCAACGGCGGCGTCCAGTGCCCCTTGCTCTTTGCGTACGGCCTTCTCGAAGCCATGCCTGACAACACCTAACCACAGTGTCTACACTTCTTTGCACTCTAAGTGCAATTGCCCGAAAAAAAAAGTCCAGCTTCCCGAAGTCCCACTAAACGGCCCCTATCAAACTCACTAAGTTGACGAAATCGTACAGGTCTCCGTACTCTAGGTATCGTAACCGATCGTAAAGGATGTCAAGAACCAAAATCCGCCAACGTTGATTCTTTACTGCGGCTGAAATATTCATTTTTAGAGCGTTAGTGAATTAAAAAAGAGCAGTATAAAAACCGGAATGTCCAACTGATAAGGCTGAAAATTTTTTCACTTGTTATTCACAGTAAGATAAATACATTCACCAACTTTTATTAAAATAAAACCATTTAAACTGGGTGTTCGGATTTATATGTCACTTAGTATATTTCAGTAGACTTTGGGTAGATAATAGACCATGTTGAGCAGTTGAAGTTTAACAAAATCAATCTTACTAATCCTGGCTACATAGATCACCAGACTGAAGCCCGTTGAGCCGTTCCCATTGACGTTGTTCTTTCATTCGAATTAACCAAACGTCTAGTGTTACATTTGATTCAACAATTTTGAAAAAAAGAACGACTGAGTAGTTATTGACTTTTTTACAAAAAATTATAATATAGTATTGCAAAAAACACGTTTACCTAAACTTTCTGTAGTACAATTACTTGTTGAAGATTGGCCAGATACTTCAATAATCCGCTTGCGACTTGAAATACATTTTTATAGAAAAATAATTACTTGTAAAAATTTAAGTTAGTTCAGCACTATTTGGTATCCGATTTAAGAGATTCGTTTTCAAGGTCAACCTAAGGGTATGGCTATTTCGAACGACAAAAGCGTGAGTATGCTAATATTACTCGTAAATTCAGAAAGTTATTGAGACAGTAACGTCGTTCATTTGCACAAGATTATACATTTGATATAGTTATAATATTATGACATATCAAATAATTTGAGTGCCGCAAAAAAATATGAAACTCTAGTTTAAAAAACCTGTAACTGCCTCAATAAATAACGTTTTATACATGAATATGAATTATCCTTTTTCATTTATATGTTCGGTATAATAAATTTTATTTACGAAGTAAAAGTTAGACGTTATCCATTCTTTATTATGGTTTAATAACATCATATATGGATAGTTGAACCCCAAAATAAACGACATTGAGGAGTTAGGACAATCTACTGTTTCAGTATATCATATCCAACTTAGATCCCATAGAGCATTGATTCCCAAAGTGGTCTATATCGACCCCTAGGGGTCTATGACAACCTGCAAGGGGTCTACGTCAGCGAAAAAAAAATTTGGGGGTCCATGAAATGAATATGGGGGTCCACGATAGTGGATCTCAACACATACACTGATAGTACCTATTGACTTACATCATAATATCTTATAATATCAAAACATATACATTATTTACAAAAGTACCTATGAAGTAAAAAATTTATTATATATGTTTATAAAATTGTGTAATTTGTAGGATGTTGGTATTCGCTTTGTGGTCGCAATACATTTTGAACTTGTAAAAACCTGAGAGTCGCAGTCTCAGAGCTTCGCTACCTTGCACTGACTTGTTCAATTCGTCACTCTATAAATACGAATGTGGTACAAATACGTTTATTCGTTTCCTGAATCTTGAAAAGGAAAGTGCAAAAAAAATATTTTAAAAAATATAAACAAATCGTATATCACACAAATTATAGTCAGTCAGTGTTATTTTGTTTGAGAGTGCTGGAGAAAAGTAAGTACATTATTTTTTATTAAATTTTAGTTTTGTACTCGTAGTTAGCAAAGATAGATAAATTACTCCAATCATGACTTTAGTTATTAGTAGTTAAATATTCAATCATACAAAATTACACGAGTACTCCTCAATAGTTTCTTTTTGAAAGTTTTAGCAACCGGTAATATAATTACAGTGCAATCTCCGTAATTCGAGCTAATTGTTGCAAAAAGATGTTCGAATTCTGGAATGTTTTCGGAAAAATCAAAAAATATTTTTAATATACAGCTGCTGGATTTTCTGTCTTATTTAAATAATTTAATTTTGCCCACAGATGACTGATGCCATGTACGAATCTAAAAAGAAATGTAGACAGTACAGTGTTGATTATATGAAATTTGGCTTCATTCTATCATTTCCGGACAAACAATCGCCTATGTGCCTTTTATGCAATAAAGTTTTGGGCAATGACGCTATGAAACCATCTAAACTGCAAGATCATCTGAGAAGATGCCACCCTGATAAAACAGAAAAAGATTTGAAATACTTTCAAACACTCAAAGATACATTTCGGAAGAGACCTACACTGAACAGAATGTTCGCTTCGACGTCACAAAGAAATGATGACGGTTTGCGGGCGTCTTACAATATCTCGTTACTTATAGCAAAATCCGGAAAACCGCATACTATTTTGAATATAGGTTTGAGGATATTTTGACTATGGTAATACCACCGTGGGTAATTAATCCATATGGTGACATAGAAGAAATGAATGTCATAATACAAGAGGAACTGACTGAAGTAAGTACAAACGAAGAACTTAAGGATCAGTTTAAAAACGGATATCAGCAATTCTGGCTGCAAAACAACATACGTGTTACTTATCCCGTATTATGGAATATAGCGAGGAAATTTTTAATTTCCTTTCCATCGTCATACCTAGTGAAAAGGGGGTTCAGCGCTGATACCAATCACCTAACGAAAAAAAGAAACAGACTGGACATCATTAGCCGAGGAGATTTAAGATTAACCCTTACAAAATTGACGCCAAATGTTGATAATTTATTATTAAAGCATCAAGTTCATCCTTCTCACTAAACATATTGACTTATTGCGTATGTTATTTTATTTATAGTTTATTTTATGTTTATTGTTGTCTGACCAATAAATGCCCGCATTGGGAATAAGTGCCCGCATTGATTTTTTTAAAGAACTCCCCTTTATAGAAAATATTTTTTTTTAAATTATTCTGAAAATTCAAGGATAGGTACACACTAAAATTCGTTAATTTTTTGCCTATTTTTAGATAACTTAAACGTATAAGAAGCGGAATTTAATCAAACTAACAGCGAAATTATTGTAGAACATACGTTTATGTTATAATTAATAAACGAACTCGCTTATTGTACTATTTTAAGTAAAAAACTTTTTTTTATTATTTTTCACTTTTTTTTATTTTATCCCTCTTATTTTTTTTTTCAATGCGGGCACTTATTCCAATGCTGCACTTATTGGTCAGACACCTGTTTATTTTACATAACAGATACAAAATTTTATTTTGAGTAGTTTTAACTTAAATTCAATTAATAAATGTATAAATTAACATATGTTTTTGCTTTAAGTTTTTAACGCTAAGAAGAAATTTACAGGAAATCAATATCAGGTAAGTAGGACGTCTACCCAACACGGAAAAACATGGTCTACGACACAAAAAAATTTGGGGAACTCTGCCATAGAGCAACCTTAATTTAACATGTAATGCTGAAGCTTTAGCTCGATCTGATAATAAGTTAAGATCTGTCTATCAAGATATGACCTTGACTAATTCACAGTGTTTGAGAAAAATGTATTGAAGTCACTTTATAAACTCATCAGTTATTAAAGAATGTGGTATCGCAAAAATCATCTCCAATGATAAATGCTTGCAATTTTGTTAGGTATGTGACCTCAGAATGAAAATATATACCATAAATTCCTGCTAAGCATACATGATTACGTTATTACATACCGTTCTGTATACAGTCTACATACCTCTGCTAATGGAAATTGTATATTTCAGAGCGAAAAAAGCTCAAAACAACGCTTGGCATCTTGGCAACGTTAGCCTGAACCTAATGCTATATTCATGCGGCCAAAAAAGTATCCAAGTTAAAAAGTGAACTTCACATATGGGAATTTGTCACAGATGTTTCTCTATTTACTAAAGTACTTTAAAAAGGTTATATGAGCATACAGGTAGCGCCATCTATGTAACAGATTCTCGTATGCGATGCTATCGGATCTGTAATTGAAAGTATGTTACGGGCAGTGGCGATATTCCGGGCAATGAGTTTCCAGTTTTTTGTTTGTTTGCCTACCGTTAACGCGAATTGGCAGGCAACAAAATTGCCTATCTCCAATGGAAATTCACCACAATATGCGGCCATTAACGTCAATGCCCAATCATCGTCATTGCCCATAATATGCATACCTTGAGACAGATACCTTTTCTCAGTTTGAAACAAATGGCATTTACCTAGCATCACCACGATACCTTACTGAATGAGTTTTCAAGAATTTGCAAGACAGTCGTGAACATTTTGCCTCAGACTTCACTTCGCTTTAGCAGAATGCCCAATTTCTGCATCCCTAGCTTAAACTCTAATCACTACGAGATATTTCACTTACATGCACCGCATACAGATACTCTGAAGTATCCCGACTATATACTGTTTGCATCTCATGCAATTCAAAGAATATAGATATGTTTCCATCTATGATGTTTTTTCAACCTATACTGCCATTAAATTCAATTTTATTTATTACTTTATTTTTCCTTGCGTATTTTTGTATGTCTCTGTTACTATATTTTATTAGACTTCAATACATTATCTGTTTATTGTACGTTCATTATACTCGTATCATGTTGTAAATGGATCTTTTCAGTTGGATGATGTATAAATAAATATATTAAATAATATTGTATGAATAAAAGCCAGCTATTACTTCCGATATAGTACCTTCCTAGCCTGAGCCTTATTGGGGATGTATGTACCTATATACAGGGTGTCCAGTAAGTACCACGACAAACTTAAGTAGGCTTTGAACTGACCTCCCAAATAACAAAAACTTACCTATATAAAAGTGTCACCGTTTGAGATATTGATGTTTTCTTCAATTTTAAAAAGAACTAACCTTTTCATCTGAGGTGTACAAATAAGGTTATACTTTGTTCATTTTTTCTATAAAATACTTCTAGATAGTTGCTTTTTCATATACAAATGCAATGTAGTTAAAAGATATTGGGGAACCATGATCAAATAAGGACTATTTTGGAATTTATAACTTATAATATAATAATAATAATATAATATAATAACTGATATTTTTTCCTCAACTTTGACTAGCTGTGGTGAAACAACAATGTAATGGGCTATAACTGCATTATATTGAATGAAAAGATTGCTAATTGAATACAGATTTCAGAAAGACACCACACGTACTACGAGCACAAACAACTAAATATTTGGACACTTTTAAATTTTGGGTAAATTGTTCTATAAAATAACAGAACAAGATAGTAAACTTGTACCGAAAACTTTTATTGATAGTTTATACAAAATGTGACCTATTTTCGATAATAATAGTTGTTTCTCTTGATAAGTAATTTAAATTAACAAAAAAAAATTGACTTCTCAGAAATATGTGGCAACTAAATATTCGGACACTACAAAATGTAATTAATAACTGTAGACTTAGGGATAACAAGATCACTTGATATTTTGCGTATTGACTTGCCTTTGCAAAACTGCTGAATAAAAATTTGCCTCACTTTCTGGTTAGTGGCTACACCTCGCACCATTTTTGAATGAATATAAATTACCAACAAGAAAATACAATTAGATACTAAATACAATTTCTAACGACGTTGACATAAATGTTATTTTGACATTGGTATCGCCCTCAATTGTTTTTGCATAGCCAGCAAGTCTCTGCTTATCTCTAATGTTTTACTTCTTGACCTGTCCGAACATTTAGTGGTCACCATATTTCACGATATTTTAGTGATTTTCTTTGTCTTAAAGTAATAAATTTGAAATCAGAAGTGCCGCTATTAAAAATATCTGTTTATTATGCCTATCTAACAATATAAATTGATTGCCAAACATTTTTAGAAGGCGGCAGTTAATTTATGAATCCACTTGGACAAAAAGTAAAGCTGTCCGAATATTTAGTTGTTTGGGTCGTATTTGGAATAGAAAAAAGTGATAGCTGCTTCTGTAAGTGACTGACACGCACTACAATGTTATTATTGAACTCAAATTTAAGTTGCACTGGTTACCGATCAGTGACATGCTAAATAGTACAAAGCTACATTATTATTACCAACTCCTCAATATCTTTTAACTACATTGCATTGGTATATGATAAAGCAACTATCTAGACGTGTTTTATAGAGAAAATGAACAAAGAATAACCTTATTTGTACATGCAGCTAAAGATCACAGATAAAAAGGTTCGTTTCTTAATATTTACGAAAAAATGCAATATCTCAAAAACGGTGACACTTTTATATAGGTAAGTTTCTGTTATTCTCCTCTTCTCCTTAAGTTTGTCGTGGTAACTGTATTTATATTTATTTATTTATTTATTTACTCATGTTTGGGATGCAACAGAATGTGAATTCCAAAGACATGAGTAAATGTAAGTTATTTTCCTCTTTTGGAAGGATGTTCTAGCACCAGTTGTTACAACAGACGAGACGTGTTGGTGCCGACAGACGCGTGTTAGTAATACACTGAACATTAAACAGGAAATATAAGAAATGGACGATGATGCAGTATTACGAAAATATCAGTACAAAAAGCCGTGTAACTGACCGTTGACCGAAAGTCAATAGTCGCAATTATAGTACATGAATGCTCAGCGACAACTATACCAATTATCCTGTAACCAACTCATATGCATACGCAGTTTCAAGGTTGAAGCACGGTTGCCAGATCGCCAGGACTCTGATAGCTAACAGAAGCAACAAATGACAATTTAATGATTTGATTTGTAATAACCGGTCTTTCGCGTTGTTTATTCGGATCTCTCTCAGTTTGCCTTTACCACGGTCTGACTTTATTTTTTCATCCTGAGCCCTTTCGACACAAAGTCTTGTTAAAAAAATTAAAAAGGTCATGTGTCATCTCGCTAGAAAAACTGGTTTGACATTTTAAGATGGTACTGCAAATTGAAAAAAAGTGTTTTTAAGACCATATGTTAATAGCCTTGTTCGAGTTCTACTGAGAACGATCCCAGTACTTGTATGATTTGTGGTTGAGTACTGGCAGAATCAGTATGGCTCTGGGGCAGTTTTCTGTACAACAAACAAGGCTTAAATTAATTTGTTTTTTGTATTCTCGTTCGTCAAACATGCAATGCTTATAGCTGTTATGGAGGAATTTTGCAAAAATCGCAGCCTAACATAAATATCGTAATTTGACATAAAGAAGTGCGATCTGACAGTTGTGGTTGCGTAATAAAGGTGCCGGACTAGATTTTCAATATTATCGGCGAAGTAAAAATAAAAAATGATTCTACGGTTTTCTTTCACTAATATGTAGCGGATCAGAGCATGCTCATCCGAGTACTACAGGAATAATTATTATTGGGCGAAATTTGCAGATTTAGGTAAATCCAGGTAAAAGTGGCAACATTAGCATTGTGGTAGTCAAAGCTCACACATGAACCGACCGACTTCAAGACTACTGAGACACCATCATGGTGGTCGAACAAGTCTTAATTCATTTTTTCAAACTGAATGAATGGACATTCATAATCGAGACGAGAGGCGAGAGGAGAGAGGGCAGACGTAGGTGGTAGGGGGGAAAGAGGAGAAACGACCTTGCACAACCAGATGCGGTCGCAGCCATCGGTCGCCGTCATGTGTGGACATGGACACAATGCTTGCTATTATGTGATTTGCAGCTGTATCTTGGGGTCGGAAAACTACTCGGGAAATGGGTTTTCCGATACGTTTGAAATGGTTTTTCGTCGTCTATAGTAGACTTTCATCAAGTCGAGTAGCTTGATATTTTCAATAACATTAAAATTACTTGAAACAGTGCTTG